TGCGTCAAAATGAGTGAACCGAATTTGCATACATCAGCACAGAGACTATTCATATTTACACACAGATGCGGAATAGCTGCAGATATAGATATACATATATACATATATATGTATATATACACATATTTTATATATTTATATGTATGGCGCGTATTGCACAAAACGCATCAACTTATTAAATATGCAAATTTATAAGTGAAATTCGCGGCAAGAGACTCTCGCCATTTGTCAGACATTGGCAATTGAAACCGAAATCGAGCAGGCCGTGGATTAAAGTCAGCCACTGTTGCTGATGAATGACTCCGCCAGTCAGCACTGTCGCCCGGCATCATTAATTATGCAGAAGTCGTACGGTCAAAGACGAAATCTACGCCGCAAGGCGCATCGCTTGCCTTTATACAAAAAGTATTTTGTCACTTGATTCGATTCAGATGCTCCACAGTGGAACTAAAAGCGAAAGTAAACAGAAAGTGAACAGAAATAAGAGTTTATTGCAGCCAACACACGCTAAAGACTTGTTTAGCTTGAAAATCAATAAATATTCTCATTCAGTTTGATCGAATTCATGCCAACATTTCGATCTGGCACATTTGTTTAATATCTGTGCGTCACTCAACGCGCATATATCTATATATGTTAAAATCTACCTTAAATTGATTAAATTTATATATTTTTCCGCATACCCTCACTTTAGAGTTTGCCCCAACTAAATGGAGTTCGACCCACTGTCGACGATAAAACATTTTAATTAGTTTATCGACGGTTTCGGCAAAGTTTATTCACATTTCGCTTGGGTGTCCGTCATTTCGTTAAGCCGGCAGCCAGAGACGTCAATGCCGTGGGCCAGGAGACAGGTGAGGTCTAGTCTGGTGCGGATTTCGTGCCAATGCAACATAAAAAGCGCTGATCCATTTGATCGGCCCCGATAACTGCCAGTTGGCGCGCCCAGCAAATGGCATTGCCAAATGTCTACTTGACCGCGCCCAATCCTAGGGTCGTCTGCAGGCGCAGCACGTGAACGAGTACTTGGTTGAGCGCTGCGCTTAGTCAATTGGAAAGCAATTCAGCCCGACCCAAGCCGGCCCACCAGAGCCCAACCCCGCCCAGCCTTACTCAACTCAGCTGAGTGAAAGGAAAAACTAGAGCGAGGGGACAGTGCAGCAGGAGGCGGCGGTGGAGCTGTAGCTGGTCATGCATAAAATATGAGCGTGCTGCGGGCTGCCTGTCAGGCATAACTAAGTTTGTTGCCGCTCGCATCCAGCTACACATCCTTTTTTGCTGCCACATACGCCACGGCTTGTTTAACGGCCTCGTCATTTTTATCAAATCCGTACGAAATGAAATGCCTCTCCTCAATTGGGTTTACTTCAAAAGCTCATCAAACTCATTACATAACAGTCAGGCGGACCATTTTAAGGGCTGAGAAATTGCCTTTCAAATCCAGCTGGACATGGGGCACCACAGGAAACACACGATTGCCCAAATAATGTGCTGGACTGAAAGATACTCCTTAATATCCAACTCGATGTCGATTCGACTCGACTCAAATCGCTTCTCATTATTGTCTGAGATTGGTTTAATAACTAACTTTGATAAACTTCAAGGAGTTTCGGTTTAAGTGATATATATGGCAAACAGTAAAATGATTATTGGTAAAGGATATCGCATGTCAAGCCTAATATATTCAACTACTCAAGCCTTGGGCTTCAAAGAGATAAATTCATTAATATATAATCGAGTCAAGTCTCCATTCCCATAAATGCCTCGTTCGCAACCTCTTGGAGGGTATTCAAATAACATTTTGGGCAGACAGTCTCCGCTTTATGATGATTATGATGGTTCCTTTGCGCCTCGTATGAAATATATATGAGCTCTTTGTCCGACTTAAGGCTGTTCGCTTGAGCAGAAGATACCCTCATCAATATGGGGAGTGGATGCGGATGGATGCGTGGATTTGCTTGCCAGCTGTGTGAATTAATTGCACAAATAATTTACATAGTAATTAAGCGAGCTTAAACGTTTCATAACACGTCATTCCACACTCCGTTGCGTACTCGAGAGAGCGAGAGGTAGAGAGAGAAAGGGAGAGAGAGAGCTAGAGAGCCATTGCGCAATTTTGCATATAAATCGAGATGTTAATGCAATCCAGCAGATGGAATAGCAAATTCCAATTACGTAATGCTCCTGCTTAGATCAATGCCAATGCAGCGCCTTAATTGAGTACGCCTAAAGCTAACGTAGCGCATCATTTCCGTTTCCGTTTCCGTTTTCGATTCGGTTACCCATTTTTTTATTCCAACTCATTTTCAGCATTTACTCTTTGCACACACCTTACTCTCTCTCTCTCTCTCTCTCTCTCTCTCACTCTTTCTTTCACCTTCTCGCGATTATGCACACAATAATGATTTGAACGGGAAAACGAAGGGCACACGCTCCACCCAGACAGACGTAGTTGGGATTCGCAATCACCGATTGCTACAAACAGCATCGAGCTTGGGGCGTGGGACGTGGGGCGTGTGGCTTGGCGTATGGAGTGGGCGTTCAGCGGGTTTTTTCGCGAAATTTTCAACAAATTCCATTAGATAATTGCATTGCTTGATGTGTGAAACCGAATAAATGAAAATTGAATACACCAAACGAATGCCACACACACAAATTCCTATTTACATAAAGCGCAAAAACGTAAAAAATGTTCATTGATCCAATTAGTCTGACAACACGCAACTATGTGAAAATAGTTATTTACTTTGGGGGTAATATTACAACATGAAAAATATGTTGTTTGAGTTTCCGCCCAATAAATACAAATGAGTTTTCACATATATTTTTGTTATCTATTTTTCAGATTTCGAGCTTTAGCAGTCAGTATAGAAATTGTGGATTACTATACTAATTACCCAAGGCGATAAATCTTTATTGTTTAGTTAATCTGCTGCTAAATAGCAGTAGATATATGAAATGCTGTCTGCTTTTCCTTTAGAGTATGTTCAATATGCTGTCTAAGTCTGTCTTGGAGTAATATAATATTTATAATAATTTCAAATATAAACACTTCCACAATTTTAATTGAAAAGCTGCAGAAATATACTTAACGCAAAGAATTATGCTTGAATCATTTTACTTTTTCTAACGAATGTATTGTATTGTATTCCATAGCTGCAGATAGATAGGCTGATACTGAAAATATTCTGAACTAAAAAAGAAAGTTATTCTATGTCTTACCTTAATTAGCTTTTATCTATAATAAAAAGTTTCATTTCAGGAATAATAAACACAGAGCTATTAAAATAAATTAAGCAAGAATCAAAATACATTTTTCAGAATGATTGTGAAACGAGCTAAATTCTTATCTGAAACCAAAATACATTGAAATACATTGGTAAAAAATATGTAACTATCTGCAACAGAAATATGAACATGTTATTTTTTAAAACATATTCATTATTTGCAAACCGTAATTCTGTCAACCAGTTAGGGTGAGAAAGAGATGGAGATAGGCAAAGCAACAGCTCATCTTGGCAGAAGTCAGTTTGAGTCTTAATTACAAAACAACATCAAGTTTTATTGCCTTGCATAATCAGTTAATTGAGTCATTGACTAGTCCACTTCAGTGTAGACAACCTGAGCCCATCAAAAATGTGAATTCAGAGTATAATTTGCGAAAACATGTGTAGCAGACAAACCAAGTCGTGGCAAACTCAAGTATATACATATAAATTTGTTAATCAGTTAACTCAACGAGCTCATCCCATTCATCTCATTCACTTGCTGATTCACTGATCAATTAAATCACATCATATACAATGGAATTGAAATCATATCATGAGCGCCAATCGACATCAGATTTCAGCAATCAGCAATTTAAAAAAAAAAAATAATTCAATTGGTTATGCTTAAGCATCAATATCATAATATTTATTTATTACTCAATAATATTTGTCATTTAAATAGTAATTTGAACGCAGTTATCGCCAAACAAGGCAAGCCACACACAATACAATACATTTCAGTTAAGTTGTCAGGCAGACAAATCTGAAGCTTTGCAGCACAGATAAATGAACCGAAAGATCGTGCTCAAAGAAGCATAAAGGGGCGGCGATTAAAAATCAATATAAAGCTACAAACGTCTGTTCATCGAACGTCTTTTGTATTCCTATATAGGGAGTGCTAAGTCCATTGAAGCCGACTGAATATTATTATGTTAATTAAAGACTTAGAAAAAAAATGAGTTAAAAAAATACTAAATTAATACGTACATTTAGATTGTAAAGGCACGGTGCCAGAGAAATGATATATTCAGATATATCTTGAGTTATTTGCATAATTATAATGGCGTGAACAGCGGACAAGTCGCCCCGTTGTCTAAGCTTGTCTAAAGCTCACACGCATGTACATTTATATATTTATGTTCATATGTATGTGTCACAGTTCATAAGCTGGGGTTAAGACAGAACGTGTAGTTTATCTCGACAATCTCCACACTCATTGTTTATTTAGTTCGCTTTATGTACGTGGGCTGGGAATTTGTTCGTTACGCACGCTGATCGATTCCACTCGATTGATAAACTTGGAAAAGTGAGAGGTGTTTGCTTGAATTCAAGACACCCTATATGGTAGAGTATTTAGGCGATTTGGAGTCATCTACTACATTATTTAAATTGAATTCATTTACCGCATCTAATGGAAGATGTTTTTACATAATTAAGACATTTACTGAAATATGAATAGCTTTTTAATTCAATTCTAACTCGATTTAAAGCTGATATAATTTATGTAGAGCACTTCACTCATCTAAATCAAAACTATCTCAAGTGGGGCCATTTTAGAACCCATTCCATATCCATCTAGAACAGCGCGTGTTATAAGGCCAGAGCAACTTAATTGCCGCAGCTATTCAAGAAATGTCCGAATTTTCGTATGTGGCTAAGCCTTATGATACCCTTTTGATGCCCATCTAATGAGTATGGTAATGAGTATAAAATGGAAGCAAACTCAAAACCAGATCATTCTAAACTTAAGTTGAAGTGTAAAACATTCCCAAAATAGAGAGAGAGCAACAAGAAAAGAAAAAATGAAGATGATTAAAAGATAAATATTTGCATAAATCACGTGCCCCGTTGGCAGCATTAGCAGAAGAATTAACTTTTAAAAATAAAGCGACAGCTGCCAGCTAAACAAAGATAGAGACAGAAATCGAGAGAGCGAGAGAGAGAGAGAGAGAGGCAGAGATCTAGTTGATGATGGAGATGGTTAGCATCGAGCACCGGTTGGAAATTTATGTAAATGCATTTGCGGTGGCCCGTGAACTTGAAACAGAAACTTTGCCTCCGGATTCAGTTGTTTAGCAACTGCTGAGCCAAGCGAGTCGGCGAGCGTGTGTATTGAATATCGAGCAGCGAGCCAAGAATCGATAGTCGTGAACCGAGGGCCGAGAGTCGTGAGTCGGTAGTGTCGTGTACTCAGTAGCTGGTGTCGAGTGATATTTATATTTAATCATGGCAGGCAACATGGACGTGCATAGGACGTGCCTTTGCGTGAGTGGAGCTGGCAAACAATATGCCATTAATGCCATTCCATAAATGTAATTTGTCTTTCAGCTGGTAGCTCTGCTGCTGGGCGTAGCATGCGCCGCCGGCCCCGCCTACCTGCCCCGCCAGACGCCCACGCAGCGGCCGACCCAGAGCGGCACATACTTCTATGATCCGCCAAGTGCGACGACGATGGCGGCGCTGCGTCGCATCATCCAGGGCCACCTGCAGCGCTTTCAGATGGCTGACAGGCAGCGTTTACAGCAGTGGCAGCTGGCTAGGGTGGATGTGCAGATGCAGCCGAATCGGCAGCTGCAATCAGCTCCGACCACCAAGCAGCTGACTTTCGAGTTCATTCTGCCACCGAATACGCCGACACCGAAGAACTATGCGATGAACTTTCTGCCGGAGGGCAAGGATGTGGCACCCGGAACTTCCTACATACCGTTACGGCTGGTGCGGATACGGCGTTGAATACACATGATTGAGCCAGCGAGACCGATGGAGAAATACAAATGGAGAGAGGGGGGAGACAGATGCGTCGGCATCGTCTGTTATTCAAATGAGCCGAGGCGATGGCAGTCGCAATGCCGTTCTCTATGAGCAGCCGGTAAATGAGGTTAATTTGTTATAATCCTACTGGTTGTTAAATAATTTAACGATACATGTATATATTTAAATATAACGAGCATAGACTAAGCGTTCCGTATTCTAACATAAGTTCAAGCCAATTTGTTGACTAAGAGCACAACCAAAGCATAACTCTGAGTTACGGCCTTTTTTAAATTTCAGCCTCCAAATTGCGGAATTAGATAAGAAACCAAATTAAATAAATAAAGCCACGCATAGCTCGTAATGAAACACACGCAGAAAAAAAACATTCACCGAAATTAACTTTGTCATATCATTTACATAATTTAGAAGCGATAAATTAAAACGCACCAAAACGCGACCGACAAAAAGCGGAAAAAAAACTATATAAACAAAATAAAAACAACTGAAACAGAAACTGAGCTCGAAATTGCTATAAATTACTATATAAGGTCGCGATCGGATTTGGTAGTACAGATTAGTCGCAGCAGTTACGCGTTCCCTTCAATCAAAAGCAATATTAAATGTCTCCAAATCCATTTTGTTTTTATTAACAATTTAAAACGACCGAAAACATGTGTGGATTAGCATTTAATATTCACTAAAATCCAACTGTTGACGCACCTCAACCACTCCATATCATTATGAATATATTTCAGCGCATGAAACATAAAATTAAAAAATATGTATATATTCTAGTTGATGCATATATAATTTGCTATGATAAGTAACTCCGCCAAACTCATTTCCATAACATTTAGTTGCTCTCTTCGGTGTAAAGGTCAAATTCAGTTTGGGTGGGCTTGTAAGCTAATGCACAGTGCATGTCAAACTGGGAAACCGGTTTGATGCACAGCTAAATCATTTAAGCGCTCTGTAAAGTGGTTGGTGTCTTGACTGACAGAAACGTCTGTTGAGCTTTTTGTTGTCGGTTGTGTGTCATGGCTAAATGATTAATACCTTAATGTGAGTTTTTAAGCTTAAAAAGATTTTAAGCTTTGATAGGTATTTAATATGTACAATATTTAGGAATTTCGTGAGTGAGGTCGCTACGGGTTAAAAATGATATAGTAGTATTGATATACAGGTATTTAATCCGACTGTCTACAGCAGTAGCTGGCATATGAACACGATTTTATACTATATCTGAGCATAGTTTTGATGGATTTAGTCATAGAACAGAGCTGCACTGTTACCAGAACTAAGTTATTCAAACTATCAATATTTTATTACACTTCAACAATTATGCTTAAACCAATAGATAAAATACCTGTTACAAACTTTACATATAGTTGTTCGCTGCTGAACGATATTCAAATGGACTTCACTGAGGATTGGGTTCGCCTGGAAGTGTTGCTGGACGAGGCGGACATAGACTGCCGTTCCGCATTGGGCATATTTATTTTCATCTGCCTGGAACAAATCAGACTCAGCCAAGCGTGTCGATTTGAGGCATTCAAAAGCACAAAATAAACAAAGAGCACAAAGCCTTGCAGCGTGGCGCTGAGACAAAAGAGATAGGAGAATATAATGCCCAGGCGCATATAGCTGCACAGGCCAAAGATCCAGGTGAGGCCCAGCAGAAAAAACAGCAGGACGGACAAACGCAGCTGCTGTATAATTAGCTGGCGCCGTGGATTGAGGGCGCGATGAATGCTATAAATGATGCAGAGCATCATGAAGGCGTTGGCAAAGGTTACCAAGCCAATGGGCAGCACGACGCCCAGCGCCAGGCCATAGCCAGAGGGATAGCACAAAGCCGCGTTGCCTTTCAGTTGTTGCTGCGACGGCTGAAAGGAGTCGGCGTCGAGCAGAACGACCAAGAATGTGGGCAGCAGTGGCAGCGTCCAGGCAACCAAGGCCGAGATGAGTATATAGTGACTGGGCCGAGCCACGCCTATCACTGTCACGTAACGCTGGAACTGCAGAAAGGCTATAATCAGCATCCAGCTGAAGATGACCAGCACAGAGTACTGCAGCGCAGCGCCCGATATCAGGCAGCGATTCCAGCTCTGCTTCAGAGGAAATTGCTCTGCCCCCAGATAGCCGAAGAGCAGCAGCTGCAGGGCGAGGGCCAGGCAGAGATGGAGCAGCACCTTGGTGGAGGCCTGACTGCGCCATTTCTCAACCAACGCCGCTGTCAGAAAGATGAAGAGTAATCCGAACAGCGAGAGGCCGCAGCCCACTTGGGTGATCAGGTCCAGCAGCTGCTCATGTGCCGCCTCCAGCTGCACATCCGATTCCTCCACTGAGTGCTGAGTGAAGCTGCCGCCAATCAGAAAGGAGAACTGCGTCAGATGCTGCGCCTCGCAGAGCACATTAGGTCCCTCGTAATGATCCCCGCAGGTGCTCACTCCATCGCTGAGCCAGCTCCCATAGTTCCAATAGCCACAATGGCTGCCCTTGCCAGAGACTCCGACACGAGGCAGCAGAAAGGGCAGCGGCGCAGGCAACTGAACTCCTGCAGGAATTGCAGGATGATTAGCCAAGCGATTGCTGAGCTGGACTTTGCTAGCTGGACTTACCCTCGAAGCCTGGTATGGATATGGACAGCACTTGGCTGCGTGGCCTCTGACTACGCTGCTGAGCCCTCTCCACAAAGAGTCCATCGTGAGCGTAGACCTTGAATACGAGATACGAGCCGCCTCTTTGGCTGAGCTGCTCCCACAGCTGCGTCGGCAGATAGGTGCCCGTCTGCAAGTCTCTCTCGGCTCTCAATGATTCCAGGCTCTCATTGGCATACAGAAGGCGATACCAGAAGCCACTGCTGGCGCTCGTTCGATCCGCAGCCCCTGCTGCGTATATGGCTATTCCAGTGATATTCGCACACTCCGGATTCACATAGAACACGCTCAGATTGCTGCTCATCAGCGCCTGCACGCCCTGCTCCGCATAGTTAACGGTTTGCACGCCCTTCTCAGTGGATTTGTCCGCCTCAGCTCTCGACCTCCCACAGCTCTCGCTCGGCACCAGCTGGGGAGGCAGTGCATCCATGTAATCCTCGAACTTGCTCAGCAGCGAGTTGGTCGCATTCAGCTCTGCTGAGAGCCGCAGCACCTGCTCATCGCTTGACATGATCTCCCGGCAAATGCCGACGAGATCTGCGCTCACAGCGCCCGTCGGTTGCTGCTGCTCGAGCAGCTCTGCAAATATTTGCGCCGTGCTGTAGACATCCACCGGAGCGAGCTGGCCTCGAGCCTCACTCAATAAATGCCGCAGCTCGGTCAAGGCGAGGGCTGTGCTGCTCCTACTCTGGACACCTTCGCGCAGCTGATTGAGCTGTCGGCTCAACTGGCTGCCGGCACTGCAGTTCACACTCCCAAGGGCGGCCCACTGAGCACTTGCGTTGCACAGTCGCCGCCAGGGCAGACCCTGCTCATCCAAGCAGAGATCCCGCATGCTCGCCCACTCTCCAGCTCTGGTGCGTGCGAAATGATTCAGATGCGGCTCAAAGGTCACCTCGCCAGCTGCAGTCAACACTGCGTAGTTGTGCTGGAAGTCCACTGGCTCACAGTGAGCCACGGGCAGCAGCTTCATATAAAATACACTCTGAGCAGGCTTCACTGTGCTGCTGTGGCTCCTAAGCTGCCATTGCTGCTGAGGAAACAGTTGAACACTTCGCTCGGTGGTGCTGGGCGCCAGACGCACATGCGCCAGACTGGGCCCCAGAGCAGCCAAGATGAAGCAAAGCTGCCAAAACATTTCGCCGACTGGTTAATTACGGCGACACATGATTTAAGCCCGTTAAGCTGCCAAAGTATTTAAGCTGTTTAAGCCGCTGTTGTGTTGTTGTGCCCAGCTAGCGCCACGCTCGACTGTCGCGTCTGGCTCGAGCTTGAATGGCATCACGACTTGTGCAATTCGAAGTCATAAATTTGTAGCCAAGATGCGCTTATCCGCATTACGTAATTACTCACCTGCTCATTCATAAATGAATACATACATTCATAAATATTTAAATAAATAAATACTTTATATATATATATATACATATGTATGTGTGTGTGTGTGTGTGTGTAGCGACCTCTCTCGCTGCTGACTCTTGGCAGAAAAACTCAAGTTCAAGTTCGATCGGTAGCTGCTCAACGTCAGAGCAATAAACAGAGAGGTGTACGGGCATCTCCTCGCCTCTCGCCTCTCGCCCCTCCCTCGCCATGCACATTTCACGCCATTTCAGCAATTCAATCTGTCTATAATTTCTACAATAATATATTGAATATATTGAGCAGCAGCAGCGCCTCGACCTGTCGACAGCTTCTTCATAATTTCGAAAACCTCTCGAGCTCGGGCTGTCAGCGCCCCAGCTTGAGCGGAATTTTATTTGGATTTGCTTTTTTGCTTTTATTGGCGGTCAAGTGTGCCAACTAGTTGACTTTTTATTTGCCTTGAGGCTACTCGAATTTAATTAATGGACCAACATCTGGCTCAAGTTGTTAAAATCAACAAGAACAAGCGCCTCGCTCACATTAATCTTGAAGAGTTTCTAATATCGAATCGTTTATAACTATTCCAGCACAATAAATTAGATTTAAGTAATCTTTCTCTAAAGAAACCAGAAATCTGAATTAGATCATATTCCAAATTGGAGCAGCACATTTCATTGCATAACTGGCAATGGATGATAAATAACGGTAATTATCGGAAGGCTATCTATCGGTATTTTAAAATAAACTACCATGATTTAGATTATAACGGAAATATGCTGTGTTATTGCCACTAGCGACAAGGAAGGCAACGAGAAGGCCAATATTCTTTGATTAGTTGTACTATTCATTGCAGATGAATCTGCGATGCATGTCAGAGAGACTTGAAACAATTGTTGAAATCTAGCGCGAATAAATAATATTTGGGTGGGGTATAAAAAATAAAGGAACTCAATTTAGTGCTCAATCCGAAACATTTCCATGCGTGAATTACTACTTTAATTAAAACAAAAATTTGTAGGTCATTTTATTGGGGAAGTTAATTTGTTAATATCTTAGCAAATTGACTAAACTGTTTAAAAAGTCTAGCATGAAAAGCAGCTTAAGCTATGCTAAAAGCGGAAAAGCGGATAAATTTACCTACTACGGAGTTATTTAATCTAGAAAAACAGTCACAGCCAATTATTTATTATTAACAAATAAATGGTACAATCATCTTTAATCAAATGGCCTTAAAGTATTTTGCTTACAATATAACCTTAAGCATATGTATATGAAATACAAATATGCGACCATCATCTGTGTCTGATTCGTTCCGGCCATTCCGAAAACCATTTTCGTTGCTCGACAAGTCAAGGACTGAGTAACTAAGTAACAACTCCTCAATAAAAAGATGTGGCTAAATGTGATTTAAATACTTGTAATAAGTTAAGGAGAAAATTTCTTATTCAAGCGGAATATCTATGAATATTATAATAAATTAAATATTGTAATAAAATATATAGATTGAATTTATAAAAAAAAAAAACACTTTAGTAGTACCAGAATGCATTAAGACTTATTTATATCCCCAATTAATTCATGTAGATAGAGAAATCCAACCTATTATAGAATTTAATTTCTTTTGCTTTGTTATTTTAAAAAATTTTAACTACAAATAATTTGTATTGTTCTATTGCACTACCCACATTACAATCCCTCATTGTCCAACTTGAAGAACATGTAAAACTCCTTAGGTCATCCTCATTACAGCTTGTTACATGCTGGCTCAGGTTGAATGCATTTCAACTAATGATACATGCCAATGTTGTTTCGAATGCTCATATTTATATATACATACATATCTTGGTACGATTTGCCTTTGGCCATTCGGCAGGGAGTCGAACGTTTGCATAGTTCTTGCCTTTTGCATCTGGTCAACTGCAGTTTGAGGTCCTGTCGGACATTTCTTTTCTGCTTGAGTCAATATGTCTGGGCGGGTGGAATGCAAAAATTGCAGAATATTCAAATATTTGTTCGCTGACGAAGTATGAAAGTGCAAAGGTGAGCATCGAAATGCAATAAATGCGCAAAAGAATTTCATAAAAGCGAAATAACGTGCATCCATGAGAGTAAATAAAATGTTTGCTCAGCTCCAATGATTGCCAATTCAAATCGAATTTTTCAACTCTATATGTTATGCTAAGAAGCAACCTAAAAGTAAATCAAATAACAGTCTAGAGAAGTTAGAATTCCATTTGCCCATTTTATAAGTTATCATAATGTATTATAATAGTTTGATTAAAGCATTGAAATAAAAATTAATAACTATTTGTGTGATTTCTCTGGATGATGATGATAATAGCAAAGATATTCTGTGTATATGTAGGACTAATTGAATAAAGTTGATTAGGAAATGAAATTTATAATTATTATTATTATTTTTGTTGTTGTTTTTTTTTTTTTTTTTTTTTTTTTTTTTTTTTTGGGTTTTATTTCTAATCAATTGTTTCATGCATAGCCAAATTTCGCTAAAATTTGTTTTCTATAATTCGGTGAATGATAGTCAAATTAAACTTAGTTAAACTGTTCTAATGAATATTTGAACATGGGAATGACTTGAGTTTCTGGAATATAGTAGTAATATTGTTATTGCTCAACTCAAATTGTTTTGAGGTATTTTTTGTTGTTTTTGTTTTTTAATAAACTTTTCCATATAGAATGTTTATTTATTTATAATATCTATGAAGCTATTTATGATATTAATATTTCTTTTTAATTTCTGAAGATTTAAAAATATTATTTTTATTAATATATTTTATGTGGCCTAGAATGTAAATATAATATTTACTATTTTATTTCGTATATAACTTATTGCCCACCTCACATAAACTGCTTATTAACCAACGGATAATAATAATATTAGCTGTAGGTATGTAAGCAACTAATTGTCGCTTAAAATAGTTGTTGATTTACGAATTCATATAGCAGCAGTGGAAAATTGAAATGCGATTTCCATGTTAATCGAATTAAGTGCTCTGACATGGTAATTAAATTTACAAATTTATAATTACGATTGTTATAAGAGGAAATGATTAAAGTTGAAATGTCATTGTGTGCGCATTTGCCTGATTGATTGAGTGTAGGAATGATGTATACAAAGAGGTCAAGTAGCTGCTTAGTCAAGCGCAACCTGTGCAATGCTGCTCTCAATCAGATAAACAGTTGTTTCTCCTCTTCCCAGTAACTGGAATTGCATCGAAATGCAATATCTCTCTGTCTTTGTCACACGCTCTGTCACTCCAACGGGCAAGGGGAGAGGCGGAGGTGATGGGAGCCATTAGGCTGCGCATCGAGACTGGCTACAAAGTTTCCTTTTCGTTTTTTGTTATTTTTTTTTTTTCGGGGGTCTGTGGGATGTGCGCTGCTTGCCTGGCTGGTTCCACTTCAGGAACTTATTTACTCAAGTGTGATGCGATTATCCTGGCTGCGCTGGTCCTGTGTCTCTATGCGCAACTACCGAAGTGCTGGGCACACACTCTGAATACCATTATTGTCAGTGGGTTTTGTGTGTGTGTGTTCGGTTCGTAGCTCGACTTCTTCACTACGCTTACTGTTTGTTAATTAAATGTCAGACAGATTGTCATCTTTGCGGCGAGCACTTGATTCGAAAAACTAAATAGGTTATCCCATCAAAATTGTAGGGTATCTACTGAGGTATCCTAGCTACAGTGCTCACATTCTTTTCCATTTACTTGCCAAACTCGAGAGCTCTTAATTTGACTTTGCTGCCTGAGCAGCAGCTGTAGTGCATTCCATTCTATTTCAAGGCAAAGCTGGTTAGCTGGTTAGGGTATTCTATTTGTGGTCTACGTCTATTTGGCTCTGATTTTAATAGACTGCTGTCTGCTGCGGGCGCTAATGCCCAAACCATACCTGGCTACACTTTCTCTATTCAAGGCCCGTTCTATCAGTGTCAACGGCATTGTCAGCCTGCCAGCGGCAGCTCCTTCGTTGGCCTTATGCCGACATTTATCAGACATCGCAGCTGACTTTTGTTGTGGTCTCTGCGGCTGCACTTGCAGCCTTTCAGCGTGGTCTTAAATAAAAGCTGAATTAAAACAAATAAAAAACGTTGCAGCTGCTCCGATTATGACGGCAATATACTCTGTCTCTGTGGAGCTGAGCTCGGTGTGGAGTCTCAGTGACTCTAAATTTTCACTCCTTGATAGATAATCAATGTGACTCTAATTTAATTACAATTAAGCAGAGCTAATGGAAGTATGCGTAAACTCAAAGTGAATGTACTCAATATATAATTAGCACAGCGACTATATTTAGAAGCATCGCTCAGGCTTTAGCTGTGTCTTTGTTAATCTTAATTGAAAGAGTGTCAAATGAAACATTATAGGAAATTATTGAATTAATTTTAAAACAAAATATTTATGATTTATTAATAATCTATTAATAATATTAAGCTAAAGTTCATAATAAAACAAGTAAGAAGGCTCCAGTCGAGACTGCTCGACTAGGAGATACTCTGAACCCTCCAAGCTGATATTCTAATCATTCTGGACTTTTTTTATGCACACATACATACACATGCATTTATAAGCACGCGCTCTGCTAGCTGCGCAGTAAGCAGCGACAGCGCTTGGGCTGCGCTGCAATGTGGGCTATATTATGACAATTTATTTGTTGAATAATTTCTTTTGTAGACATACAATCTTAATACAACTTTCAGAGCGTAATCATATGGTTAAATTGTGTGTACATTCCAAAGCACAAGTCTCTAGTACTTGAAATGCGTTTTTTTTTAATTGGGGGCGAGGGGGGCGTGGTATCCAAAATCTGTAAATTACAAAATCTTTGTGTCCATTAACTTTATATACAACGCAAATTTGAAGACTCCAGGTCTAAAAGTGTTCAAACTAGGCTGAAAAAACCAAGTCGATTTTTCGATTATTCTCGATAAAAAAGTTATCGGATGAGTTATCGAAAAAATAAAGCAAACTCGTACTGCCTATGGTATACTCGAGTATGCATGCCAAATTTCAGCTCTCTAGCTCTTATATCTTCTGAGATCCTTTTGCTCATACGGACGGACGGACGGACGGACGGACGGACAGACGGACAGGGCTATATCGACTCAGCTCGTCGTCCTGATCAATAATATATATACTTTATGGGGTCTGCGATGATTCCTTCTGCCTGTTACATACTTTTCACAAAACCATTATACCCTGATTTCCCATTTTCAATGGGTTCAGGGTATAAAAAAATATGCTAAATGCATAAGCAATTAAACTTGAATGTTAGCAGAGCCATCTATTGGCCAGTAGCCAAAGCCAGAGAGAGAAAGAGAGAGAGAGTGCTCGTGAGAGCGAGCTTTTCAGCAGCTTTTATTCGTAAACAGCTGAGCGTGTGCCTGGCACATTGACTAGCGGCTGGCAGGCGACAGGAGCTGACACAGGCCAGCGCGTTAGTGGCTGTTGGAAAAGCGCACACAAGTGTCCTGGCGCCAGCTGCGGTGTCCTTTAATATAACAAGCATCTAGCGGCGGCTGCTCAGTCGTCGATGGCTGCTTCAAGCTAACACTGTTCAAGCATTGCGCTCGCCCAACCTGAGCTAACGGCTATTCAAAGAAGGCTCGCGCGCGCTTCGCTTATCACAGAGCCCAGAACCCAAATACGAGAGTTGTGAGTGGATGAGTGAGTGTGTGTGCTTGTGTGTGTGTGTGGCAGGAAGTTGTTTAGCGAAACTGGAGTGAAAGTCAAATCTCAAATACAAAACAAATAAATCACAAGCCAAAAATAAAACAAAGGCCGGGAGTGAACGAATATATTAAAGTAAATACAGCGGCGCAAGCAAATCGCAAAATAATAAAAACAAAAACAAAAAAAACAGAGAACAAAAACAAAAAAATAACAACAACAACAAAAGCACATAAGAAATGTGTGAGACTCCCGCCAAAGGACTGAGTCAAAGCGGCGTATGCGCAACGCTTCCCTGAACAAAAATTAAAGCATACTTTTGAGGGCTCTAATTTATTTCGATGCGCATATTTCTGTCGCTATTGTCTCTACCGAGTGATGGGGCGTCAGCAAGGGGGCGTGTCATAATTTATGTTTTACGGTTTTTGTTATTTTTTTTTTTTGCTGTTTTTGGTGTCCACGAATAAGAAAAATATTACAATAGCACAAGTGGACAAAGCGTTGGAACAAAACGAATAGAAATATTTGCCTCAATATGTCAAAGTTTATTAGACATTTGGCTTTGCGTGCCCGCGGCAATTTGTGGACAGTTGTTGCGAGTTGTTATTGTGGTTGTGGTTGTTGGTGTTGTCGCATTTCGGGTTGGCACGGATAGTAAAACGTCCATTAGTTTTGATAAATGTTTGCCCAGTTGAACATACAATTGCCCAATTGAACAACTGGCCGCACAGCACGACCTAAGCCGCCTCGGCTGTGGTCTCATTATGAATTGAGCTTTGGCTGAATGAGCGGGCCATCGTTTACTTAGTTACTGCACGTTTAGTGCCAAATCGACAGACAATTTGGGCGCAAATAAGCAGCAAAAATATCATTACAGTTAACTAATATTAGCGTGTTTAACACTTGCGTGCATCACTAGGTTGACAAAACGTTTCGAGGGCATTTCCTGGCATGCCTGATCGCCCAGCCGAACACCCGGCCACCCTCTGACATTGTCATTCCTTAAGCCAGGGCAAAGAGTTGGCTCCCACAGCTCCCACAGACACTCGAGACGGCATTGTCACACTTTGCTTGGCAAGAGAGCTCCTATTTCGCAAAATGTCAAATGTTTCACGTAATTAAAATTCGCTGAATTGGAAGGCAGCTGAAGTGGGTTTGGTGCCTGGCTGCTTGCTTATTTAGTTGGCAGCCAGGTGTGGAGCGTGCTAAACTCGTCTGATTAATATGCAATAACGCCCAAATCAGTTGGCAGAAGTGGCTCAACGCAAACAACTGTGCCGAACGCTAAGCGATAAGCGATAAGTCAAACAATGATACACAGCTCGCAATAATAAAGCTGAAATAAGTACAGAATATAAATATACATATATAAACGGTGTATAAATATCCCTGATATGCACCTTAACGAGCGCGCTAATGGCACACACAACTCATATACACTCACACACAAACACAAACACTCGCGCGAGCGGGCAAGATAAAAATCGATATTTTAACTTGGGCCTTAAAAACTTGTTAAACTTTTGCGGCCGCTCCAAGGGGCATTCGTCTTACATTTGACTTGGCAAAACGGGGCATATCCTAGCAAACAGCTAAGCATGCAGCAAGGACTGCCTCTTCTTCGTCTCTTTCTTTTTGCCACCCAGTTGCATGCCCCAACGTGTGGATTTTGCAGTGTTGCTGCTGGCTTAGAAATGGGTGACGCCTTAATTGCCGCACACTTGGTGTGGCGCATAAATTTTGGTGCTACGCTTGACTTGCTATACACACACACACACACATACATATACGCCCATTTAAACTGTGTGTGCGCTCGCGAGTCTGTGTGTGTAATTAAACTGCGCTCTGCATCCTTTGTGCCGCTCGTTGTTGCCATTTTAGCTGCTTTTCGCATGCCTTTGTTGTGACCCAGTTGGGCTGGCATCGTGTGCGCCTTTGGCAGTTACACGTGTTGCATGTGGCATGCAACAAACAGGCTGGCATGCAATAACAGCTGCAATAAGCCGCCAGCTAATGGCGAAACATATATGGCAAAGCACCAGCTAGCAGCTCCTTAAGAGCTCACTCGCACTCATTGGCATATTTGATTAGCATTTCGTTTTCACAAAACATAAGAAAGAAACAAAAAACACCAGAAATGAAGAACGGTGGGGCGTGGTCCCTTGACATATGCAAGGCGCTGGCCAAGCCCAGCCCAGCCAAGCCAGACCAGGCTAGGCCAGGTCAGAAAATAAATAAAACCAAAGGCCAACAAAATTTAAACGAAGCGAAACGGAACGAGCGAAACGAAATGCAAAGCTGAAAACATTGTTAAGCCGATTTCAATGTTTAAATTCATGAAATATTCATGTCCATTGTGGAATTTCTGTTGTCATCTCAGTTGCCCACACAAGTCCTTAAAGCTTGTCCAGATACTTAGTTGAACTTGAACTCGAATATTTCACTATAAATGTGTCAACAATTAAATTACATAAATTCAACTCTAGCTCCCTATGGAAATAAATTAAATAAAGTGCTAAACTGAAATCCATTTCAACTCGATAAATATTAAATATATTCAAAGCGTTATGCATCACATATGATAAACAGTAATTTGTGCAAGTGAATTAAAACGCCAGCAAAAACTCTTTGCATTTCAACCAACCAACCGAAACTCAAACAGCCGGCCAAAATGGTAAGTTAGAGCATTCAGAGGGCACTCGAAACGAAATTGAGTTCATGCATGAACAGACCCGAGAACGAACTCAAATAGCATGTCATCAATGTATTGAAATATTTAATTGATGGCTCGACTAAATGATAAATTAAATTTTCATAGCTAAAAATGCGAAATGTTTCAAAGAAAAAAATATCGACTAAAAAAGAGAAGAGAGAGCAGAATAAACAAATGCAGTTTTTGGAAGGAGGCAAAATGTTTAGATAGTTGAGAGGATTCATAAATGATTGATGTGGAATATTGAATATAGAATTGATGGATTACTATGCATATAAACAGAATGGTAGAATAGAGAAAATATTTTGCTAAAATATATAATAAAATACAAAAATCTCAATTTGAAATATTAACAAGAAAATATAATATTATTAACCGAATCAAATTTTTATTAAGATAATTAAAAATTATATTTTATAAGAGATTTTGCAAAAATAAATATGTATATAAATGATTTCTAGTCATGCATAATTGAGAGTATTGAAGTACTACCTCATACACCTCTTGAAAACATCAGCTCAATTTAGAAAAGAAAAAAAAAAAAATTGAATTATTAAATAAAAAGATTATATATGTGAGCATCGTAAATTTATGTGTATATATAGACCACAGCATAAATAAACTTGAAATGTTATTTAATACACATAATACGCAGAAATGCCGACGTATCCTGATTTTATGACATAAATCAAACATTCAAAACCAAAAATGTCTCTTAAAGGCCTTAGGTAGAACAAATTAAATGCCAAGGACAATGATAAGATTCAACTTGGCAAGAATATCAACTCAATGACAAGGCAAACAAACTTCACATGTTGACATGTTACACACACACACACACACACACGCAAACACACGCATATAGAGGCACTCAGAAGGACCCACATCAGCAGCGTTCCTCATTTAATGGTAGCGATTTTCGCATTTCTTCGCATGCTTTTCCATTCTATTTTTAAATTACGTCAAACTGACATCCGTGTGCAATTGTTTGGCTCTAGTTGATGTTTTTTGTTTGTATATGTTGTTGTTGCTGTTTGTGCTAATGCTGGAACATTTCAATATATGCACAACAAAGGCAATAAACATCAAATATCGGTTAGATATATCTTCATCAGGCAGCTAACAAAGAGCAACAACAGGCGTATACGCAATGTATGTAAATATATTTCAAGTATTTTCCTGGCATGCTTTGCATCACTTCCGGCGGAAGCGATTGATTGTGCGCCATCTTGCAATGCTCTATGGGCATGTAAGAGCGTTAGAGTGCTTCACTCGCCCTCGCTCAGTGTGCGACTTGATTTCGCATAACAAATCAAATTGATTGCTCGTCGGATACATTTAAAAGAAATGAAATGCGCAATCCTTATTGATTTCACATTTTTAACAACATTTCGCAGGCCCCAAAAAAAAAGTCTGAACGAGTTTTCCATCATACTGCCTCTCTCTCTTTGAATTTGTTTTTTTTTTTCTTGTGTATATTTTCATTTTAAAATTTTTTTAGCCATGCATTCTTAGCTGAAGTCCATTTTATTATCACTTTATTTCGCCAGCGAATGTAATTAAAATGTTGGCAGCATTCAATTTAACTGGCACTTTTATGATTTCATTTTGAGTGGCCATAAAAATGTTGCTGTAATTTCTGAATGGTCGCCAGTTAAATTTCGGCATTTAGATAAATGAAATCCAGATAAAATACCAACAATTCAAGTATATACATATATATATATATATATATATATATATATATATATATATATATATATATATATATATCTGTATATATACAAATTTATTTGGCATTATCATGTAACTGTCCCATAATAATATGATATTATTATTTCCATTTGCAGTATGGCTTTGTTAACTACGCCCTGGAGCTGCTGGTACTCAAGCATTTCGGCGAGGAAATATGGGAGAAGATCAAGTAAGTAGCGCCAGCACTGACGGACAGACAGACGGAAACTCATTAGACGCGTCTAATGCGTAAACTAGCATCGTCTTAAGCCACAACTTGGCATATCATCAGAAATTAATGTGCGACTTTTATTGTGCGCTACAAAAATAAGGCAAGTTTCCCAGAAACGGCAGCCCAAACAGTTGGAAATGCGTTTCATTGTTTTGCGGGATGAAACGGGCAGTGGATGTCTTGATTAACATATTGTATTATGCGAAAGTTCATTAATTTCGTTAAGGCAGCAAACGTATTTATGAAGATACAGATGCAAATGCTGCTGATTATTAGCATGTCGTATATTTTATGCAAAATTGTTGGAGTTGGAGCTTGAATGGAGGACACAGAACTAGCTTAGGCGAAAGTTGCCAAACGGTACAAGTTGAAGGTATGCATTTTTAATTAAAGCCAGGTAGCAGATTGTCTTAACAGAAGTGCCGAAATACCTTAAAAGAAGAGAAATCAGGTGTTTTGACTAAGTTTTGTAGTTATAATATGAGTTGGGATCTTTCGAAAACATATGACGATGAGAATAATGATAATTAAGGTTTAAGATACTGTTAGTGGTAATGATAATGAGAACAGTAATAACTTTGTTGAAAAGGACAAGTAAGAACGTTGCAGTCGGGTCATTATAATTTGCCACGCCCCTACTGGGCGGATCTTAAAAATTTCAGCACATTATAGACAGACAGACGGACGGACAAGACGAACATGCACAAAACCAATATACTCATTTCACTTTTGCGATTGAGTATAATAATAATATTAGTTATGTTGATAATAATAAACCTGGCAATGCCAATATCAATTGAAATAGAAATTATAATGACACTGGCATTGACGATGTCAATAGAAATAGCAATAATAATGACAATGACAATGATAATGTCAATGGAAATAAAAATAATAATGACTATGACAATGACAACGACAATGAAAATGACAATGATGATGTCAATAGAAATAGCAAAAATAAAAACAAAGACAATGATAATGAAATCAATTAAATATTAAATAATATTATTTTTAATTGATAATGGCAATAGAAGCAAAAATAATTTCAAATACTAAATGATAAATACTAATGATCATTATCACAATATCCACAACGTGTCACTCGCTAATGTAATTAGCACAAGGGCTGACTTAAACAAATGACATCGCTGTAATAGCTAACGACTTGCTTTAATGAATCCCGACTCATTTGAAATGAATCCCTCATGACACACATAGAGACACATAAACACTTTACTAACTGCCGGATGTGTGTGAAAACAATTGTGTCCCGTGTGAGTGTGAGTGTGCGTGTGTGTGTGCGAGTTTGTTTATGTTATTTATTTACTATTCAATTGGTGTTGGCCTGCCTTTAGGGCAGCTGGCATCAGTTACAGTTTAAGATGCTGCTGCGAATTGGCATTGTGCCGCATTTAATTAATAACTAATATAAACATAAATTTATGCGTAATTGTGTGCCAAACACTATCCGCAATTAACTAATTATCCATTTTTCATGTGGATGGAACGTGCTGCCACGCCTACGCACAAGAGTACATAAATTAGTTATATGCTGTATAAGTATGAGTGTGTGTGTGTGTGTGTGTGGGTGCAAGTGTGTGTATGTGTGGCATATAAACAAAGCAAAACACGCGTCGCATTAATGTTAACAACGATTTGTGGGCCTAAATGCAGCGCTAGAATTAACGGATATCCGCCCCAAAAATGTCTGATTGTGCGTATGAGTGCGTTTGTATGTGAGCTCGTGTGCGTGTGAGTGTCTGCAGGCAAATACAATTCGCATTTATCTTAATTAAGTTATTGATATTGCGTGTGTATTTGCTTAGCGCCCGTTTCTGCCTCTGTGCTCGCCTTTTGGAAGTCATGGCTCTGCCTGAGTCATGCGTTCATTTCTCTTACTCCTTCTCCTTCTCCTGCTTCCGTTCCGTTTGGGGTCTTTGCGCCACTAGGCAACCAGTCACCCGTTCGAGCATGACGTCAGTGAAGAGAGCAGCTCGGACTGTTGCTAATTGAGCAAGATTTATGATTTTTGATTGCCTAACCGCAAGTCAGCTGACTGAGGAACTGACGGCATTAACTGCGGCCAGCAGAAAGCAACCCTTTTAATTATCTACATGAAAGGCAACAAGCAGTACAACCAGAAAGCTAACTTTTCTCATTTATTGAGCGAGAAGACGCTCAGCTTAGCCCCGGCCTAAACGTCTGTCGCTGCCAATGACATGACTTTAATTACATTGCAGCCCGTCGGCAATGACAGTGGGCAATCACTGCAGCAGAAGCAGTGGGTCAGCGGGGCAGCGGGGCAGCGGGGCAGTGTGGCTGTGTGGCAGTTGGCAGTGGCAAGAACCACACTTATTATACAGCCACTTGAGGCACCCAGCCATTGGCATTGACGTTCGCCCACACTTGAGTCAACAGACACACACACACACACACGCACAGAGAGAGAGTAAAAGAGACAGAGATAGACTTAAATATATTCAATTGGCGCTGGGCGCGTGTCGTGTTTTCTTTCGATTCCAAGAACTGAGTTGAAGTCTGTGTGACTGTCTGTGCGCTCGCACCTTCAACAGGCTAACGTGCAGGACATTACGAAATCTATTACAGAACATAACACGATTAAGCACGATTTCTTCGTAAAAACGACGCTTTGCATATTTGTGTGTGCATTTGGACTTTTGACGGACTGCCGTGTTTTAAATATTATATTGTGTATGCTCGTGTTTATATATATAATATATATAATAAGGAAACTAAGGAAATAAATACTCGGGAAATAAATACCAGTAGCATGTCTGTTGTCATTTAAGAAAGTTTTAGGCATAAATGTTTTGTAGCCAACGAGTTAATCTTCGAGGGCAGTTCTACCAGCACATATACCATATACAAGAGAAATTTCTATAGTTTCGTATCAAATTAAGCGTATTTGTTTATTGTATTCGATATAAATTAGGCTTTTACGATTATTATGTTAGAAGCTTTATTATGCTAAAAAGAGGGAATACTTCAATCGACTTGATTCGCTACTATTTAATACGAATACATAATATTCAAGGATGTTCACAGCTCGCAGCTCTTAAACCTCTCTGAAAATATATATCACCGCATTCCCGCGAAATGATCGTGTGTCGAAAAATGAAATTTCACAGAAGATTTTTTATTATTATTTAAATTTTGTTACTGTATGTTAGCTTAAATTGAAATTCTTTTCCGAAACTAGAGCGAATTCACTTCTTATTTTTGGCAAGTATGAGAGTCAGACGTTTTCTAACCGTTTTATATTAAAATCTCAATTTCGCAAAAATTCAACATATGATCAACATTTAACATACGATATCAAGTTTAAGCTCACTCTAAAGTTTATACTCCCCAAATACTAACAAATATATTCAAATAAAATCTATTGAAGTAGCACTTGAGTATTTCATTAATTTACATCTCATATACCCTATAATTTAATTTTTTAAAATATTTTAAAATTATATTTAGTATGAAAACCGTTTATTCAAATATATATAGAGGCCAGAATTCATTGCCTTGTGCTATCGTCACACACTCGCATCTCTAGCAACGCTCACAGACAAGAGTTGACGTCCTCGTTTGCCTCTCGTTTAGTTGCACTCGAAGGCATTGTCAAAGCGTTCATTAAAAAGAAAGCAAGACCAAAGGCGAATACCATTGACAGGATACAAGGAGCCAGCGCATACGTGCGTGCCCGTTATAACTACTGTCTGTGTCTGCGTCTGAGTCTGTCTCGCTATCTCTTTCTGTGTCTGTGTGTGTATGTGTGTGTATGTGCCTGCGTCTGAGCCTTCAGTATGAATGGCAGTGGCATTTGCCTTGATTGACGCACTGCTGACCGCAAATGAATGAATGTGTTTGACTATCTATCTCTAGCTCTATTTCTGTCTCTCTCTTTCCCACTCACTCTTTCCCTCTCTGTCAGTCGGCCTCTTGTTGATTGCCTTTAAAACTGACAGCTGCTTTATTTAGCTTTAAAGCCAGAAGACGTGGCTATTTAGCCTTCGCCTGCACTTAATCAGAATCTCGGCGCTAAGTGCTTTACGGGCTGCTTCTGTTACTCTTTATCGTTATTGTTGTTGTTGTTCTTCTTGTTGTTGCCGCATAATTGCAAAGCATCAATCTGCAAATGAGCTTCATTAATTTGCCACATAAATAAGAACAAACACAAGATTGAGCTTAAGCCCAAAGCAGCTTCAACTGCTTGGAAATATTAGCTTGAATTTTACTTCTGTCTCTTCGCGTGCTCTTCATAAATGGCTTAAGTTGGGTATATTATATTATTAATAAATATATATATATCATTCAGTATGAATAGAGTTCAGAGATAGAGAGAGATATTAAATCATATTAATAAAGCCATTTATATGAACAAATGCTGGGGATTGCAGATTAAAAGTGCATAACTGATTGTTGTAAACAAGTTGCTTAGAGGGCATCTTTAAGTCGAGTAATCTTTGGCTAATACACTTTCAGCTTTTTTTTTAGCCCTGCGGCTTGACTTTGACTTTGATGTGGCACAAGGATCAGAAAGATTGAGTAGCGGCTCGTGCACAATGTGCGTTGGCTGATTCATTCGTTGAGGCCGCAGTGCTTGACATTAAAGCTCATGAGAGACACACACACACACACGCAGACACACATGCACACATGCACACACGCACACATGCACACACGCACACTGTTGGCCACGGTCAAAGTGGCAGTTGTTTTGCTAATACACAGAGACCGGAAATGTAGCTGATCCCCCCTCCCCTACCGCCGACAGCAGCCCACAGCGGCGCACATCTCTCTGCTGTGCTGTGCTGTCGCAGTGTCGTTTTATTGTTATTGTTGCAAAAGTCCTTGTTATTGTTATCGTTGCTGTCGCCGCCGCCGTCGCCGTTGCCGCCGTTGCTATTGCTGCTGTTGCTGTTATGCGTGTTTGTGGCACT